CAGCACAATCTTTTCTCGAGATGTGACCTTTCTCTTTGCGCATGGAATTCTACACTACTCTGACAAATCTCAGCATCTTTATCTCTTTACAGGAACTCAACTTATCCATGGCTCTCACTGCCTCTTCGAGCATATTAACAGGGGGAAAAGCACAGGAAAACAAACCCATGCGAAAGGTGTCTAAAAGAATTACTTGTCTCCCAGCAGCCTTGACTCTTATACCAGCAGTCATTGTCGACATTCTCATTCTACAGCAATGCTTCCAAATTGCTAAACTGCAGCTTTTAAGTTTCAGGTGATCATTTGTGCCCCCAGGCTGAACAAAACTTGGGGAAATTGTTATGAAAGCTGCTGAACTCAGAGTGGTGGGTGGGAAGATAAAAGAAAGCAGCAGGGTTGCTTGAAACGAATGTGGTGGTCTCCCCCCCAACCCCACCCCTGTCCACATGGACAATATAAGCACCTATGATAATGTGTGGGAATTAATATTCTCGCTATGTTCAGCTCCAGACATCATCTTTTTCTAACAGCTCTCCAGACGGTGGGGTACTTAGCCCTGAAAATGAGTGTTCCACTGGGCTTCCCGCTCTGCCCTAGTTCAACATTCTCTGAGGGTTTCTGCGATTCAGAAAGAATCCCCAGTACACAGTAATAACTGTAAGAAGGTATCAAGTCCGGGGAGACCCACTTTGGGACGTCATTTGCTGAGTGGAAGAGGAATTAGATTAAAACACAAACAAGTAAGTGGGACTCTTTTTCATCAGAGCTCAGACTGGGTGAGAAGAGGCTGAAACGAAAGGCTTCAAGGGTGAAGGAGAGTATTCGAGGGAGCGTCCCTTGGGTGGTGCAATAGGGGACAGTATTCAAGGGAGTGTCCCTTGGGTGGTGCAATAGGGGGTAGACCATTGTGAAACATGGAGGGGAGGTGATACAATCAGGGACTTCAGGAGAGCAGGAGAGACTTGGAAGAGGTGCTCTGTGGAATTTGATGAGTTAAGAAGAGATAAATGAAAGGATTGTGGAGAAATATAGCTTAGAGCAGATATCTTGAGATTATAATAGACTCAATTAGCAATTTATGAGTTTTTAGAGCAACTCAACAGCCTGGAGGTGGAAGTCGAAGGCTTGTTCATTGGAGGTCCTCTTCAGCTACAGAAAATGAAAAGAACTTTCAGTAACTCTAGATGGCAAGACATTTCAGAGTGGGAGTGAGTTCCCTGCAGATACGGCTGCGAGCAGATGAGGGTTTGTGGACCAGGAGACCACAGAAGGTTGAGGGAGGTCTTCCTTAAGAACAAAGTGAAGCTCATGCAACTGTGTGTGAGAAATAGCAGGTCAAATGATGGTGGTCAGAAAGGAGGAGTTTCACAGATGGTGATCTTGGCAGGTGGTCATCTTGGTGCAGCTGCTAATGAGGATGAAATCTAGAGCATGTCTACACTGGTGGGTAGATCATGCGGGATGATGTGAAGGCAAAGGAACTGTGATTAAGCAGTGACTTTGAATTTGAGAGGATGCTGGGAATACAATGAGTAGAGAAAACAACCATGAGGCAGGTACTCCTAGTGTGGGGATATATAGGGTGGGGCAAAAGTAGATTTACTGTTGTGAGTATGTGAAACACAGAGTTTCCTCTTGTATTAGTACTTATTAATGATTGTATTATTTTCCATAAGAACAACTGGAAACTTATTTGCCCCATCCCGAATACTAAGGGTATTCTGCACTAAGGAACTGAAATGGGTAATGAATAACAGAAAAGCAGAATAAATAACAACAGAACAGGGATGCCCCAGAAGTGGGCATGGGGTGTGAGAGTATTGGTCCTCTTCCCCCCCCGGCCATGTGGCCAGTCGGAGGGTGTGGTCCTCACTGAAGGGAACGCCAGGATACTCAGAAGATCCAGTTGCAGTTCATGTAAACAGGTAGAGAAATGGGGAAGAGAATGATTTGAGGAAGTAGGAAAGTTTGTCCTTAAGAAGATTAAAGTTCCAAAAAGATCTGTGAAAGTGTTTTGGATAATAGTTCTGACCCTTGACTGCACAATGGAATTACCCAGGAAGTGCTAAAAACAAGTAAACAAAAACCAATACCCAGACCAGTTGGATCAGAACCTTTGGGTTGGGATCCCAGAGTGAGTCTTTTTTTAAACCTCTCCACCTGACTCCTATGTGTGTGGGATAGAGAACCACTGATTTAGGAAGAGCAGGAGTGAGAAGCAGGGCGGTCTGAAGAAGGAAGAGGTATTTGGAAAGTGTGATGCAAAGATAGTGTTTATGGATGACAGACGGTAGAGAAATAGGGATATGGGAGACATTAGCAGGCAGGGTGCCGAAAAGGCTCCACTGAGGTAATGAAGGGCCTTTTTCTGAGTTTATTGGCCCCAAGTTTCCAATTACGGTGTGAAGCAGTGTTGTCTAGGCTGAATTAATTGTCTCCTTGGTAAGTTGGATAGACTGCTCACCTGTAACCAGGATTTTGGTATTTCTGCACTATTAAAAGGCCGTGAGGTACAAGAAACCTTATCCATTATTCATGTTCATTTCAGGCTAAGTGCCGGATCCCCAGGTGCTGAGAGTTATAGATGTCTGTTTGGAGAACGTTGACCGCCACACAAACTGCTCTTGGGATGTTTCCCCTGCTTAAACCCGTACATCACTCATTCTCGGTGTTGCCCACTAATTTAAATAATCAAAATTATTTTATAAACTATTACTTTTGTTTGCATGGATTTGTGTATGTCTGTTGGGAAAAAAGGTCAAGCGTGCCTGAGTTATAAGAATTATGTGTGTGAATATAAAATATGTGTATCAAACATTTCACATATGATGTAGATCTTCTAAGGTATGCTTTTTGCAATGATTTTTCTTGGAAGATGTTAAAAAGATTTGCCTTAATCAGACCCCATGGCTCCTCTACGAATACAATTTTCCCTAAGAAGAATTGAAGCCTAGGATGATTTCTATCCTGACGGTGCCTCAGAAGTATCACATTTGCAAAGAATATAAAAGAAATAACCTTAGGCTTTACACTCGAGCCGTGTGTTCACATCATTTATTCAACATCAGAAACCCCTACAGGCTCAACCGTCAAAAATGCGTCCAGGGACTGACTCGGCCTATTCCCTTCATGGACCCAACCTGCCACACTCAGTGTTCATGACCCAGAAACACTCTCTGGATAGAAACACCAGAAAGAAATACCCTGATTTTCAGGGAAAAAAAAAATCGTTTTTCCTGGCTTCCTTGACACTTTTTCTTCCATTTCTCTCCTTTCTCTGGGTGCTCATCCCCCGGCAGCTCCTTGGCAGGCTGCCCTTCACCCTCCCTTGTGATGGCAGGGCCCCCTGGTCCCTAGGTTCTAAAGAGTGGCTCGTTGAGAAACCCACTTTTGGACTGGAGAGTCCAGACTGCAGCCAGATGCCTGGAAGGGAAGCGTCTGCTCTCCATTCAAGAGCTGTGGGACCTCGAGCAACTTCCTTAACTTTTCTGTGCTTTGGATTGCACTTCTGTAAAATGGGGATAATGGTATCCTACAGGGTTATGGTAAAGATTACATAGGTGAATAAAAAATATTTAGAATCTTGCCTGGCAGATAGGAAGTTCTCAATAACATTTATTTTTATTATTGTTTTCTTCCTCTACTCTCCCTTGATATTCTTTCTGATCACCATGGATGACAACTATCAATATACCATTGGTTCCTGAGTCTCTGTCTCAGAATCTACTCTGTTCAGAGAGCCACACCCACAGTTCTGTCACATGGGGCTCGTTGTCCTGACAGCGAATTCCCATCTCTAACTCAGTACTCCCCAAGCAAGGCACCACATCCACAACCCAAAGCTACCCACCCCTGCGTTTGCTGCTGTTACTTGAGGTGGACTTGATCTTTTGCTCCACGAATTCAGTGTTCGTCACCAGGTCCTGCAAGAGCTGCTGGAACAGTACCTTTCACACGTCTTCTGTTCTTCTCATGCCTCTGTCATCAACCCAGGTCTGCCAAGCTTTTCTTCTTAGCTTGACTCTATCTTTCCACTGACATCACACTGGTATTTTAAATGTATATTTCCAATCACGACTTTCTTCTGTTTAAATGCCTCCAGTGACCCTACATTAACTCTATCTGGCAGTCAAGTGTCATCCCAATAAAACTCCCATCCGTCATTCTAATATGCTGTACAGAGTCTGTATTTACTGTTCCCTCTGTGTTTCTTCATGCTGTTCCCTTCACCTAGAAATCTTGTATTTTTTCCCATTATTGCTGGCTGCACCATATTTTCCATTTGGGCCAATGTCAAATGTTAGCTTCTTCTCAGATTTCCTTAAAATAATAGGATGCCTCCCTCTCGTAAACTTCCATAGAACTATGCATCGTAGCATTTATCACACTCTGACTTGCCTCCTAGTCTTTGGCATAATTCCTTTACTCCTCCTTCTAGGTTGTAACTTCTTCAACGGCACTTGCTATATCCTTTAAAGCTTCAAAAAGGATGAAAGTGAACAGCAATAATAGCATCAGGTATTAAGCTCGTTTATTCTGCAAAGCAGCAGCCCTGTTGTCAAATGCTAACCCTCTTCCTTGCAGTCCTCGTAAAAAGAATGGGAAAGCATACAGATGCAGTAGCACACAAGAGGAACATACAGTGTGAGCAATTATGCCAATTCCTTTTATAGGAAGAACACAGCCGAGATAAACATGGAAGCAAATTATTTACCATCCACAGTCTCGTTGCCAAATTCTCCCTTCTAAATTTTTCATTAAAGGAAATCAAGGAAGGTAAACAAAAGTAGCCCTTGGGGGAATCAGCATAATCAAAACAGCTCATCTATCAGCATGGCCTCAGAGAGATGTCCCATTTTTTAAAAATGGTATCTCTTGGGGCTAAACACTTATGTCCACGCCATGGGGCACACACACACACACATTTCCTCTGGGTGTGCACCCCAAACCCTGGCTTTGGTGTGAAGGTGAAAAGGACGAGCCAGGCGGGAGCCACTTACCTTCAGGGCATCTTGGGTGTCATCCAGACAGTAGACTCGGACGCTGTACTCTAGGGAGGAGCAGCAGAGTGGCCCGAAGATGGCCAGCTTCAGGCGCTTGGCGGCCGCTTTGGTGACGGACTGCCCCGCCAGGGCGTAGGTGCCGAGGTTCTCCGTGAGCAGGTGGCAGGCCTCGGCGTCCAGCTGAATGTAGCAGGGGGTGGTGAAGTTCTCCTCGCCCACCACCACCACGTCCTGCGGGACAAAAGGCAGGGGCCGTGGCTGAGCCCCCGGGTCCTGCCGGCAGCCCTCATGGTGACCGATGGTGGCAAATGCAGCAGGACCTCACCACCTGAGTTCTGCTTATTACTTTTCCTGCTCTTTTTTCTTTCTCAGGCTTTATTATACCTCTGTTTCCATCCTTCATCATGATCTCCCTTACTTCCCCTGCCTTTATACTACTTATAATCTTTATTTAGATGCCATTTATTGAACATGTTTGGATCCTCTGACAACCTCCAGAACATTCCAAAACAAATTCATGAATCATCCTTTTGACTTCAGTGTAGTTATGTTTATTATCTGTTTATGAGAACTTAATGTTTTACTCTCTAAATTTCTTATGGAAAAGAAAAGTACTATTTTATTTCAATGTCATTATAACCTAGTGGTGTTTCTTTTTTTTTTCTTTTCCCCTCCCTACAAATCTAGGAGTTTGAAAAGAATTAGAGAAATTAAGGAATTATGCAATACCAGTCTACTGTTTCTCCCAAACTCACCTACTAGTTACTTTCCAAAGCAACGAGCTACTTTTCCTCAATAACCTGGCCTACTGGACTTACAGATAGCACAGTATGGACAACTCCATGCCTTTAAGGCCATTTTCTGTGTTATTTTTCATGTAAGCCTTTAAACAATCTATCCTTAGATTCTGTAAATATTTATCAAGAAATAAAAATAAGTGGAAGTGATGAGTTTTGTAAAAATAGTTACTAACTTAATTAGATTTTGATTTGTCCAAATGACTCAGGCCACAGAAGAAATCATCTGAAAGACCAACCGCAGAATCCATAAATCAAGGGTCAAAATTCTACGTACTTCCCAGGGCATCCAGAGAATGTGTGGAGCAGGATGGGCAGAAGACAATAAGGAGCGGTGGAGACTGTGGTAAAGCAGAGCACAGACCTGTCTAAAGAGTTCAGCTGCCTCTTGGCTTCAGCCCATCGCAGCTTTTGCAGAAATGCAGGCCCAGTGAGCACACAGTCTTAATAAACGAAAAGCTGGAAGTTTAGGTTTTTATGTGAAATCTTCCTATTTTTAATTAATTCAAATCTAAAAGAAAATTTCATGCGGGAGAAATAAAATACATGTGCAGGTACGACTCACCCTCTGCATTAGGCTACTCCATCTCTACAGAGTCAGGAACTATATGTACTTTGCTTCCCACTGTATCTCAGTAGGCCTGGCTCACGTGAGCAAATGGTTATTTGTCCAGAACAATGAATGAACGTTTCACCATAAAATGAGTCCCTAGGGCTGGACAAAGATGTGAAAGGAGTAGCCCCCCCAGGTGGCCGTTTATTAGGTCTTCCAACATCATCTGAGCTCTAGCAAGAACTGTGTTGTCATAGCATCCATGAAATCGTTTCTTCAACTGAACGTGTACCCAAAGATGCAGCTCAAACTGAACCGGAAAAGAGAGATAGAAGCTCAGCACCTCCAGGTTTATTCCAGGCCCCAAAGGATACCTGGAAAGAGGCTGCTCTCTCCAGCAGGGTGAGCATAAGCCTTAATCATCATCTCATAAAGGCTTGTTACAGAATGCCTCCTAGGGGACATGGTCAAGAATAAAGATGCCCATGTCCCTGTCCCAAGTATGACTGCTCTCAGAAGCATTGTCCTGTCTTTCTTCTCCTCTCTTTCATTATTATTATTGTTATTATTACTCAAATTGTTATTATTATTCAAATTACCTAGACATAGGATACGAGGATATCAGACAGAGAATTGTGCAAACACTTTGGGGTCTCATGAGATTAAGATTTTGGAATGTTTAAACATAAATTGAAGTTAGACTTGGTGAAACCTGGTCTTAACTCAAAGTATATCCCTCGACTCCAATCTTGGACTTGCGGTCCTCTGGCCAAGAGTGATCCCCTCAGGTGCCTAAAAGGAGAACATGTCCAGGGAAGGAAATTCCAGGGACTCCGGGATGCCCGGCTGCTCTTCCAATATGACTTTTTCCTACAGTATTAGGGTCTCGACTATGTATGTATATTTTGTTCAAAAATGGTCTTTCCTAAAAGAAAAATAAATATGTAATCACAAAATATATAACATATAGATTGGATCCTTGTCTTCATAATGATTGCACAAATATGCAGGGGGAGCTTTTAAAATTACTTGCTTTTTTTTTAATATAATCAAATTCCTGAAATATGCTTTCCCGAGAATACGCTGAAGTATACTTTTTAGTGGGCTATTTTCCATTTAAAGAATACATACTGCTTATTCAAGGGATAGTAATGAAAATATACAAACTTTTATAAAGGTATCAGGTATAAAATCTTCATGGTACACATAACAAATCCTTCGGCACTGGACTGTGGGTGCTCACTGAAGGGCGCTGCTGTCAAGAATAGGATTTTCTTAAGGCATCGTCCTTAAGAAGTTGTAATGGTAAGAGCCACAAAGAAGCAAGATGCCATCAGTATTCTTCAATCTAGCGGAGCTTAGAAGACTGTTCCTGTTTTCCTAGGTTAGGTTCAGAGGAACAACATTCCCAAGACTTGTTTGCACGTAAGTGGATAACATTTTCTGAACCAGGTGCAATGCTTCTCTACCTGAACATTTAAAAATGTATATGTGTTTCCCTTCCCAAGATATGGTATGTATCTTCCAAACTGGACTCGTGTGAGACTCCTAGGTGCACCTTCTCTATGAGCTAGCTCATGCTTGCCCATCGTTTTCTGTGTCTGCCAGTCAACAAAGAAAGCTTTCAATCAACTGTCTGTCTGTCTGTCTCTCTGTCTATCTTTCCCCCATCTTGCCTCCCTCCCTTTTCTTCCCCTCTTTGTCCCCCTCTACTTTCTTTCTCTTTTATTTTGAGTGGAAGATACTATTCCATCCATGTTTTGTTTTAAAAATAAAAGCCTTTCCATGGCTGCTTCTGCTTGTCTGCAGGGATTGCTCCTGCGTTCCATCTTTATCCCCACCAAAGCTCACCTCCCACTGGCCCTGTGCTGCCTGGTTCTTGAGCTGTATCTTCCAGTCTTCGGTGTTGGGATCTGCACAGTGATGCATAGTGAGGATGACCGGGCGGGTGAGCAGGGCTCCCGGAGGCCCACAGCTCACCACAGGGGTCAAGAGGGTCTGAGTGTCTTCCATGGGTGGCCTAGGAGGGAAGAGAATAGCATCAGTGACATTTCTGGGGTATTTAGGTGTATGACCGCTTTGAGATCTTAGATTGAAAATTGAGCAAATAATTTCTTTTTGGAATTTTCTTTGGGGGAACAGAGGTTAAGGCAGAACCAAATTAGAAGACACGCTCTTTATAGGAAGACTTTGGTCTTGCAAGACTGGAGGTCTTTATAATGACAGGCAGCGGCCGCTTGGTCCCCTTCCCTCAGATACAGGTTCGCCTTTGGTGACGTCCTCTGAATTCATGTGCAGATAATTCCAGGATGGAGGGAGAAGAAGCAGAGTCCTTATGAGGTTATATAACCATGTTTTCTCATAACACTTGTCATTGCTCTCACGGGGTTTTAGGTACTTTTGTGTATTGGAGACCTAACTTGAAAAATAATTCTAAAAAAATCACTTCAGAACAAGGACACCCTAGAGCTAAGCTTCTTCCAAATGACTTTCGGGAATAATTCAGGCTAGTATAGCAAATTTGCTCTTTCAAAAGTGGCCTGACTGAATACAGAATTGTATTTCTATAGCAATTTAAAATGAAATCTCTTTCCTTATATACTTCATACTAGAGAGTCTGGGTGGAAAAAACCTTCAATATCTAAAATCTCTATTTCTATTTTTTTCATTGCCTTAAATCTTTCCTCTAACAAGATTGTAATCAACAACAACAACAACAACAACAAGAAATGGATAAATTAGCCCCAGTTATCAGTTGGTATGGGAGGAAGTAGTCCCAAGGTGTTGAGTGGATTGCCCGAAGTCTCACAGGTAACAGTGGAGAGCTGGGACTAAAACCAATGGCTTCTTAACAGCACTTCTCAAAAACACTGTCTGATAATTAGCTTAATAAATCATTGACTCACAGAATTTTAGAGGAGGAAGGGCCCTTGGGGTCAACAAGTACCACCTTCTGTCCGAAGCAGGAGCCTGTGTTCAATATGCTGACATGTGGTTAGTGTTTTTATTTATATTTCTATCCATTGATGGGGGACGGGGGGAGAGAGAGAGAGAGAGAGAGAGAGCCATCCATTCACCAATTGGTTGCCTCCTGGATGCACCCGGACTGGAGAACATACTGCAACCCTGGTGCATCAGGACAAGGCTCCAACCAACTGAGCCACTCGGCCAGGGCTGGTTAATGCTTTGGACACATCCAAAATTGTAGTCCACTACTGCTGAGGCACATCTCTTCTATTATCAACTTAAATTTACAACACATTCCTATTAGAATGAACACAATCTCCCTTCTTGACACTTCTCTCCATATATCCTTGATCTGCTTTCTGTCTACTTAGGCATGAAAGCATTTTCAATATTTAGAAAGTGTTATTATGTCTCTAAAAAGTCTTCCATATTTCAGACCAAACATCCTCTCAATTCCTCAAGTTTTTAAACTTTGGCTAGAAAATCATGGTTTTCCAGATCTCTCCCTATAACTCTGTCTTCACTTTCATATAGATGTTTGTCAATGTCTCAATGTCTTCACTAAAGTGGGGCACCTTGAAATGAATGTAATGCTCAAGCTGGGGGGGCATTGCAGGGGGACTACTATTTTTTTTATTTGGAATACGTAGTTTTGTCAATGCCTCATGAAAGTGTTGCCTTAGATTATTCTTAATCAAGTAATTACTTATAAATATTATTTAACAGTCTTGAGTTAGGTGGGAAGATATAGATTATACGGTTAAGCATCTCCTTTATAAAATGAGGCAATAAAGCCCCAAGAAGGTTGAGTAATTTGTTAAGCTAACCACTCTATGTATTTCTAATATGAAAGGCTCTTAAGCCAAGTCTCTATAGTTTCATGGTTGCAATGATGATGGTGTTGAACCTAGATACAGAAATTTATATTTAGCTATTTAATTTCACCTTAATAGTCTCAAGAAAAATTTCAGGACATCTATTAATGCTAAGTCTTTCCTCCAAATATTGGCTCTCTTATCCAGTCTTTCATCCTTCATAAATTTGATATGCCTGCCATTTATGCATTTATGTTCTCATTCCAACCACTGATAACATTGTAATACAAGAATAGGGCGAAGACAGAGACCTTTTGAAGGACACCCCTTGAAACGTCACTGCAGTCTGACATCAATACTGTGAGTTATTTAGTTCAGCCAAATATAAGTCCATTAAAATGTACATGGACCAGTTTACATCTTTCCATTTCATTCACATGGATATTGCAAGAGACATATCAAATTCCTTTTTTAATGGCAATGCACTCGTGAAACGGATTATTCTCTAGTGTTTACCTACGGTTTATGTATTAAATACTATGTAATCCAGAAGTTAGCTTATATCTATGGCCTCATTTGACACTCAGTGAGTGATAGCAGTTGTTACTATTTTTTTTAAAAAATATGGTTGGAAGACAATTCTCCATGGGACTCTCATGTCTTTGAATGTCCCTGACTATCTTCCTAGGCAACTGCACAGCACACGTCTTGGAAGAGAAAGACAGAGCTTACGTCTGGAGCAAAGGGCAGACCTGTCTACTTGCTGTGATAAAAGACTCAGGTTCCCTAAGCCCAGGGGCCCTTTGCTTAAATGCAACACTGAGTGCACAGAGGTTGTCTGACCTTCTTTGCATCACTCTTGCGGGACTGGGGCCGAGGAAAGTGGCACCAGGATGACATACTCTGCATAGTGCTGTTGTTGTGAGTGATGAACTGTGCTTTGTCTCTGTCCAGGATTCTTGCACCATCTAGCAAGCATCTACAAAACTGGCAGCCTACTTGGTCGCTCACAAGTAAGGTTAAATCTCAGAGATTCCTTAGTTCTTAACAATTACTATAATCAGTTCTAAGGACTCAATTAATATTTGGCCTACTTTCCCCTTAATAAAACGTGGCTATCACGGCTTCCCCTCTCATTCTAAAAATTTACCAGAATCTCACCAACCCATGCTTCCCCCCACCTTCTATTCAGAAAATCAAAACAGTTTTTACTCCTTTTAGTTTTTTAATATCTCCATTCTCACTGAATAACAACACAGTTTTATTAAATCTGAAGTTATCAAAGTACTTGGAAATGCACTTATATTTGGAATCCTAAGTTACTGGCAGGTTGAGAACTCACTGCTGTCCCTCTGCCTTTCATTTTAATTTCCTCTTAACCCAGTTTTCCTTTCTGCCCGCCTGCAATTCACTCTCTTAGATCACGAGTAAAAGTTTGCTTTCATTGTGTCATAGTTAATAGTACACTATCTGCCCCGATCTTTTAAATTCTACTTTTCCTACTGGGTGCATGGGTGGGTGGGGGAGCAATGATTGCATTTTCTTGGGTACTACTACACTTACCTTTTAGTTACAAGTATACCTTGGGCATTAAACTTTTCTGAAGTATATATTTTATGTCATTTAATTTTTTAATTGAATTTACTGGGGTCAAATTAGTTAATAAAATTATATGGATTTCAGGTGTACAGATCTATAATACATCATCAGTCTATTGCATTGTGGGTTCACAGCCCCAAGTCAGTCTCCTCCCATCACCATTTATACCCCCTCTACCCCCTTCTACCTGCCCCCTCCCCTCTGTCCCTCTGATAATCCCCATACTGTTGTCTGTGTCTCTGGAGCATTAAACTTTTAAGGAAGGAAACTAAAGTGGAAACCACTTCAAGTGGTCCTTGCAATACAACTGAGGATTGGAAACATCTGTCTCTCAGTCTGCTGTCAGCAGCCGGTGCTTGAGGCAGAAGGAGGAGGGGTTCTTCTCATCACTGAGTTGGAACAGAAGGGAGGAGGCTCCCTGCTGGGCCCGGGAGCCCCAGCCCTGCTGCTCTGCAAGCAGGCCCCTGGTGTGCAACACCGAGGGCGCCCCTCCTGGAGGAGGGATAGCAAAGGCAGGAAGGGGCAGTAGGTGTCAAAAGAATTTATTAACCCAGTGAGGTGCAAGAATGTAATGAAGAGGGAAGCGGTGATGTGGCATTCTTAATAGGGAGTGAAAACAAGAAGAAATAATGATAAAAATCTATTTGTGTTTTCAAGATGAAAGTCGTGTTGGAATTGGAAACATTTCCAAACCCTCACGGAAGGAGTGACTTCCATAAGATTGACCAAAGGCTAGAATGTTTAAATTCACGTTTTCTTTAGTTATATAAAGAGATGATATTAAATTCCCCTAAACAAAAATAATAAAAATAAATATAAATAAGGCTGATTCAAGTGTTTGCAGAGACTCTTTTATATCTCGAGCTGCCAGTAGGCTCTTTGAGCAAACAGTGTGTAAATATTAATTGCAGATGATACAGAAATGAATACAAGGCAAAAATTAGCTGCGGAAGCAGCAATTATGTAGAAATTCAGTAATGAGCACCGATTAAAATTTTAAAGGCTTTTCAAAGTCCAGGGACGATAATATCATGGAAAATGCTGAGGCCTCTGGAACAAAGCTCTCAGACAGGAGTTTTCATTTCCTGTCAGGGATTTTCTCATCCTCTGCTCGCCGTTATCAGTGAGAACTTCTGCCCCGAAGTGCACCATTTACAGAACTTTCACCGCAGCAATTACGTGTTCTGCTCTCGGCACACCTGAGAGGACCTGAGTTACCTTTTATTCCAGAAGAGGAAACTGGAACCTGGAGATAGGACACACTTGCCTGAGGCCACACAGCGAGTCCCAGACAAAGCCAGAATTCAAACATAATCGTTTGGTTTTTTTTCTCATAATGGTGTATTTTGGATTGCTTCTCTGGGTTTAGGGCCTTGAGAAATTTTTTTTGCCTGTTTGTCAGAGCAGGTTCAGAACCTCTCATTGAACAGTCACTCCCTCCACCATCCTGTGTGGGGCTGCCGGGCCCTCTGCGAACACGTGTGCCTTTCTCAGGCCCCTTGGGATGACAATCCCACCCCGGGCTCAGCGCCTTTCAAAGCGGTTTCACATATAACTGGCAACTTGAAATATTACAACTCCAGGTACCTGACAGGGACGATTTAGCTCACTTGCTATCCAAAGCTTAATTCAGAAACAC